CCCTGAGTTCGCCCGCGGTGGTCTTCGCCCCTCCTCGAACTCTGTCTTGCCCCCGGGCCGTCCGCCCGAGTTCCCCTCTACCTTACCCCCGGACCGTCCGCCCGAGTTCCCCACTTTGGACTCTGCTTTGCCCCCGGGCCGTCCGCCCGAGTTCCCCTCCTTGTTTTCTGCCTTGCCCCCGGGCCGTCCGCCCGAGACCCGTCCTCCAGACCCCCTCCACCCACCCTGCTGGACTTTGTTTTTTGGGACGTCTGGAATCCGTCCCTTGAGGGGGGGGTTATGTCACGCTCCTGGGTTCATGTCACGGTTGTAGTTTTGTAGGTTTGGGTGTTTTTGCTTTTTTCCATGTCATGTGCGTTTGGGTCCTACCTGCTTCACTCTGCGTATCAAAAAGCTTCCTGGCGGGCAGGTGTCCACCTGTCTGAAAAGGGTTCTTTAGGGTGGAAGTACCCTCCAGAGGAAGATGTTGCTTTTGTACCGTTTCTGTAGGGTGGGTAACCTCCAGTAAGGTCGTTCAAGGGTTTGACTATTTTTGAATAGTCCTTTATGAACATTCTGTAGTACCCTGCGAAACCAAAGAATGACTTAAGGTCGCTGAGGTTTTGAGGTCTAGGCCAGGTGCGGAGGGCACTGATCTTCTCTGGATTGGTCTCTACCCCTTTGCTTGAAACAATGTGGCTTAAATAGCGCACTGAACTTTGGAAGAAGTGACATTTTGATGGAGAGAGTTTCAACCCATTTTCTCTGAGTTGTTGGAGGACATGTGAAGGTCTAGTCTCATGTTCTTCTAATGTGCTTGAGAACACAATAATATCATCTAAGAACACAAGTACTTCCTTCAGGTTTAAGATTCCCATACACTTTTCCATTAAGCGTTGGAAAGTACTCGGAGCATTGGTGATGCCTTGGGGCATACGATTAAACTCATAAAACCCCAGTGGACACACAAAAGCGGTCTTAGATTTATCACGCTCCTCCATCTCAATCTAGTAGTAGCCAGATTTAAGGTCCATTACCGAAAACCATTTGGATCCGGCGAGGGCTGAGAAAGCCTCTTCAAGATTGGGAAGTGCGTATGCATCTCGGATAGTCAGCGCATTCAGCTTACGATAGTCAATGCATAGTCGGACCTCTCCGTTTTTCTTACGAACCACCACAATTGGTGAAGAGTAAGGAGACTCTGATTCACGAATCACTCCTGCATCAAGGAGTGTTTGCACATGCTTCTTCACAGCTTCATAATCCTTTGGGTGAATAGGTCTGGACTTTTGTTTGAATGGTGTTTCATCTTTTAGATTTATGTGATGTTTCACTTTAGATGCATGCGCAAAATCCAGATCATGCTGGGCAAAAACATCAGCATAAGCATTTAGACTCTGGCTTATTCTGTCCTTCCACCCTGTTGGGAGAGGAGAATCACCAAAGTCAAATGTAAGGTCTGATTTGGTACTTTACTTAGGTTCATTTACTGACTGAGATGTAACAGTACAGCATTTCAAACTTTCAGCATTTTTGTTTGAAGCAGGTAGGTTGTCATAGATTTCCTCAGGAGCATGAAGCTCGGCAATCACACAGTTTGAAGGAAGCGTTATGTCATGCTCAGTTTCATTCCGAACCCACACAGGTAACTTATGAGGACGCTGCTTGGGTAAGGTGACAAGACAACACTCTACCAATATTCCACCTGGCAAGGCAGATGTCGTAGGCTGTTCGACAATAGCACATTCGCTAGTGGTGTCTGCTCTGACATAGCCCTCAAGGAGGACTCTCCCTTGAGCATGTATAACTTGCTGTGTTTTGTCCTTAAGGGTCATCAGGCCTACTCTTCCACCAGAGCTTGCCTCTTTCCTGAGCTTGAGAGTGTGGAGAATTTGTCTATATCCATTAGGGGTGTAACGGTATACGTACCCGTACCCTTCGGTTCGGTACACGTGTGTAGAGAACGAATATAACATTTAAACGTAAAAAATAAAGAACGTGAACAACTTTTTGGAAGTAATCTCAGGTGCTGCGTCGCAGCATTCAGAGTAATTTGCTCACACAAATGTAGTCAGTAA